TTAATAATTAAAATATATGATAAATATCAATGTTGTAAAAATCGTAGCTAATTGATTGATTGGGGTCAAGAAATTAATCAGTCTAAACGGAGATTAATTGGTGACTCAAATTATAAAAAATATATATTTATTTAAAAAGAAAATAAATGTTATCAAATAACAAAGTCTGGTTATTTTATGTTCAGATACACATCAAAGATTATACAAATAGATAAAAAAAAATATATAATAATAATAATAAAAATAACAAAGTGTAATTCATTTTATGCTTGGATACATCAAAATTAGAGATTATCTTAATATGGGAGGTCAAACACTATATGTGTATGCAAATTCCTTTTATTTTAGTGTTTAATAAAGTTATTGTAGATTAAGGAATAAGACATAGAAATACAGATGTAAAGCCTGAATTGTATATAGTATATATACATAACTCATGTATACATATAAGAGAGAGAGATTAATGTGTGTCAATGTGATGAAGTGTCATCGTGAAGGTTATATGTATCATGAGAGAGAGGGAGAGATTAATATGTGTCAATGTGATGAAGTGTCATCGTGAAGGTGAGTATATGTATGATGAGAGAGAGAGAGAAGTAAAACACGTTGTATCTTTTGTGCCTCCACAATGATACAATTGATATCCATATATACAAAGAGTCTGTCTCTATTTATGGGATTTATATCAACAATAAAGGTGTATAATCTAGTTTCTATAACAAACCTTCCTCATATTGAGGAAGAGAATAATCATCGACTAATATACCCCCGCAGTCGAATCGGGAGGATGGCGAACGTTGAGATTGTTTTTGAAGTCTTCAAAGAGGACGAGAGGCAGGCCTTTAGTGAAGATATACGCAACTTGATAGAGAGAAGGAATGTGAAAAATATGAACTTGACCACAAGCTACTTTCTCCCGAACGAAATGAATATCGAGCTCTATGTGCTTGGTACGTTGGTGTTGAACTGGGTTACATGATAGGTAGACGGCGCTAACATTATCGCAATATACCAATGTGGCTGTAGTTTGCGGAATATGAAGCTCAAGCATTAAGTTTCGAATCCAACATGTCTCGGATACTACAATTGTGACTCCCCTATATTCTGTTTCTGCACTTGATCGTGAGAGTGTTGGCTGGCGTTTGGAGGACAATGAAATGAGGTTGTCTCCTAGATATACACAATAACCCGATGTGCTACGTCTTGTATCCGGACAACCTGCCCAATCAGCGTCTGTATAAGCTAGAAGTTTCTTGGATGGTGATTTTGTGAGTAGTAACCCATGAGTGATTGTACCTTTGATGTACCGTAAAATGCGTTTTAGAGCATTGAAATGGGATGTGCGAGGAGCATGCATGTGCATGCAAACTTGCTGAACGACATAACTGATATCTGGTCGGGTGAAAGTCAAATATTGGAGACACCGACAAGTTGACGATATTGCGCACCCCCGTCACATAGCAGAGTACCATCGTTGTTGCTTAATTTTGCCTTGCTGTCAACCGGTGTGGAGGAAGGGTGAAAAGAACTCATTCCTGCCTTTTCGAGAATTCCGTTGGTATATTTTTGTTGTGATAAGAAAAGTGAGTCTTTTCGGCGGGATACGGATATGCCAAGAAAATAGTTGAGGGTTCCAAGGTCCTTCATTGCAAACTCTTTTGCTAACAATGCCATAAACTCATGACGAAGGTGAGGTGATGTGACAACCTGAAATTTATTCCGTTGCTGTAACCCTTTTTCCGTTAATAAAACTCGTTTCTATTAAAATTAATAGTTAACATTTTGGGTTTAGGTTAATTAAATTGAGACTTTTATTATGGTTTCTTAACTGTCGGAACGAATTAAAATCATGTGATACACCCTCGAATTCTTTTAGAAAGATTTCTAGATTACGACCAAGTCGGGTTACGAATGTTTAATCGGGTACGACCATAAACTCCGTTTAACGACTGGATCGGGTAGATTCCCACCGGGCCGCAAACTCAACCCCTATATAAGGGATTGAGTGGTCACCATTTGAAGCTTTTCCCACTCATAACACACACTCTCTCTACTCTCTCTCTCTCTCTCTCTCTCTACAAGTCGATTTTGATCCAAAAACGCCCCTTTCGAGCTCCAAAATCGTAAGTGATCCATCCTAGCTTGTTATGCATGCAAATCCGTGTTTAAATCATCCAAAACCCTCAAAATCATGTTTTTACAATTGAGGAACACCCTCAAAACCGCAAACACCCAAAAGTGGGTTTTTGAAGCCCCAAACCCTCCAAAACCTTTCTAGTGCTTAGCTATGACTTAGGGACTTGCTTGAATGAACTTAGAACACCAAAAACATGTTATAAGGGGAGTAAACATGAGTTTACAGCCCATGAACATTCATGGACTGTAAACCCATTTTCATAGGCCGTAAACACCTTTTTAAGGTGTTAAATTCCCCTTAAACACCTCCTATGGCTTGGATTAATGTCTAGAATCAATCACCATCGAAGTAGGGACCTTAAACATCAAAGAATCCATGACCTTAAAGAGATTACGGTCGTAAACCCCCAAGGAATTGGTCCCTTGGCCGTAAACTCCCTTAAGGAGGTCAAATGGTACCCTAACTTCCCTCCATGGCTTGTATAATGGACTAGAAACATGTATGCTTAACTTAGAACCATCAAAACATGAAATGAAGGGGCAAGTAAGAGTTTACAGCCGTAAACTCTATGTTTACAGCCGTGAACTCCTCTAAATGGTCCATTTGAAGCCTTAGTCACTTCCTATGCCCTTGAATCAACCCTAGAACTTTCCCTTGTGCAATATAAGACCATTGAACACCCAAAAACACTCCACCCATGAGTTTACGGCTGTAAACTCATGGGGATATGTTCATTGGTCCGTAATCTCCCCTAAGGGTTTACTCTTGAAGAGTAAACTCCCTATCTAGGCCATACATTCCTTGGATGCAACCCGTATCATTCCTAACACTTAAGATAAGGTGTTTTCGCGCATCGGAGTGTATCATCTCACTTAATTAGTGGTTCAATGTCTAATTAGATACAATTATGTATCTCCTCATGTTACATAGGATCCTCGCGTGGCGTTCAAGCCCTAAATTGACACTTAGCATCCTACCCGATAAATTATCGTCTGTTGAGTTCATACCCCTACACTTTTTCTGAGTTTTTTATGTTTTCACTGGGGGGGGGGGAATACAAGCAAATCATAAAGGTTTTCAAAACTTAAAAATTTATGTAATTATACGATTTTCTGACAAACTTTTAGATACTTTATCTCTTTTGTAATATGTGGAGCATCAGGGAGATTTTCTGAATATAATTACATGGTTTTCAAACAACGTGGGAACTTATAAAATCATTCAAATTATTATGGGAATAATTTGGGATCTTCATTACTTGTTTTACGGATTCAGATTTCGTGCAAAGTCAATAATATAAACTATGTCTGGTTTAGTTTATCCATGTTTAATCTAGAGTATCATGCTAAATAATTACATCGTATTTGATTATTTATACTCTACATTGTTCCAAACGATTTTGAAACTCGAGAACGATCAATTATCCAGTGAATCAGTTAATACTAGCTTGTGAGACTTGTCTTCGTTATACCCTTCGGGGTACCAGTAAATCCTCTCCGGAAGTTTAACCAGAGTCTCCTGGAGGGAGAGCGTGAAATTTATGGATAGATCTATTCGGGTTTGACAATCCCACACCTAAACTGCTAGCTACAGTTAGGCGGGCACGCCTGGGGTGACAAATTTTGGAATCGATCGACACCTGAAGAACATTAAGGAGGTCACGGGTCAAATTAGTATGGTTATACGACTCACAATACGTATTAAACTAATTAACTTTATTCACGGATTTCTTTCTTTCTTCCATAGTTTTATTTATGTAATAAAACTACCTACTTTCGTACTGGAGGGTATTCCAAGGATCTTAACCTATAGTTTTATGTATTAAAACTACCTACTTTCGTACTGGAGGGTATTCCAGGGATCTTAACCTATAGTTTTATGTATTAAAACTACCTACTTTCGTACTGGAGGGTAATCCATGGATCATAACTTATGGTTTTCTTAACTTACTGGTGATAGCCAGGGTTTTTGTTATCTTATGGAAATCGACTTACATGTTAGAAAATATGGGTCAAATTCAACAGAAACATTATTGTCAGTTGTAAAACGACAAATAGATAAAAGGTTTTTGATAACATTAGGAGTGTGAAGAACATTTTTGAGATGTAAAGGAGGAAGAGGATCCATATGGAAGAGTTTGATGACATGTACCATGGAATGGAATAGTAGAGCCATTACCAACGATTACGTTCCGAAAAATACCATTATTGACATAAGACGTGAAGTTACCTGGGTGGTTAGTCATGTGAGATGTTGCTCCGGTGTCGGCATACCAGGTTTGATCCGGTGGGTGCATTGTCATGGTGTGAAATGCTTGCTCGAGATCTGTTGGTGTGTAGTTGGCTTCTGAGGCAGCATAAGCTTGTTGAGGACGGTTTCCCAAAATACCATGTGAAGGTGGTATGAATTGTTGAGTTGGGTATGGATAGGGAGGGTAAGCTCATGGTGTGTAGTTGGGGTACGCCCATGATGGTGGAGCAACCCGTGATGGTGTAGCATAGGTATAGGGTTGTGTTGTACCGGGTTCATGTCAAATTGAAAAGTTAAAAGAGCTTGAACAAGTTGAAATATCTTACTTAAACCTATTCACTTTGTTTATTTTGTGTCAGGTTAGCAAGTCGCATTAGTGTTTATCAGCTTTTCATGGAAACCCAATTCAGCATTCTAAGCATCAACAGCCATAGAGCGTTAATTTCATGTTGCAAAAAAAGATCAACATGTATATCTTCAACCATAACCCCAAACTCGTTACAGAAAATGTATTTGACCAAAAAATTTATGTTACTTCTACAAAGGGACAGAATTAAAAACTCGGTATTATATGTACAAGCAAAAAAAAAAAAAAAAAAAACAGAACAAAAAACGCATTGACACGTTATTGAGGATTCTAACATACTTTACAACTCTTCCGACAGTGTCCATGTGTATCAACAGAACCCACCATATAGATAGGATTCTTGTCACATTCCCCTCGGGCAGCCCAGAAAGTGCAATTGACGTTTTCGTCCCTGCAGCCTTGCGTTTGACTTGAAATAACCGGCTTAACATCAAAACTTCTTACATGTATCCATTTGGTTGCCGACCATTTCTCCCCCTCTATCACAGGGCAGCTACCATGCAAGCTCAAAGGGTCCGTTGTTGCATTAGGATGAAGATTAAAAAATAATAAAGCATCTCCCTTCTTGGGTTTCACTGCAAAATCAACATGCATATATATATATATATATATATATATATATATATATATATATATATATATATATATATATATGTTGTCACATATTTAAACTTAAATGGAATTTCTCTATTAACTTGTCCTTCGTGCATGAAGTCAAAAAAAAAAAAAAGGTTTTCTGTATCAACATACCAGCATAACCTGTTTTCGCACACGTAGACCAGTCCATGTCAGCTTTCGGTTGAGATTCTTTTAACTAGGAAAATCAAAAAGCCAATCAAAACAGGGAAACAAAAGCAAGATGATGTCATTTAGTATTTATCAAATAAAACATACATACCTCTGAGTGGGGAAATATTGTCTCTCCACCTTTCTTAACGTTCGATAAATACATTAGTATAGTAGCTATCCTGTGTCCACCTCTTTCCTGATTGATCTTATCCTGGAAGTAATCCCAATGTGGCGAGTATTTTTGACCATTTTCATAGTGCAATATTTGCATGGCCTCCCCGTTTTCTACAGGAAGGAATGTCCAAACTGAAATCCTTGATTCAATTCCAGCAATTACTTCATCCTTCAAACAAATTATTATGAACAGAATAATGTTACTTTGGACTTTTGAAGTCGTATACTTCGATTTTTGAAAACTTAAAAATCATTCATTACTAGAAAATCATAGTTAAATATTTAAATGTGTTACCAAGCATGCTCCAATGGAAGAATCGACCCTAATGATAATGGATGTTATTCAAAAAAAGGTCACATACATGTAGTATGTAGATCTCACTTATTGTTCTAAAGCTAGTAATTAAGCTTTTGCAAACCTGAGATTTCTTCAGAAACATGCCTGAGCTCGTTCGAATCGTACTTTCTATGCTCTTACCAGTTTGAACGTCCGCGACCATAGATTTCTCGAGCTTATCCTTCGCCTAATCAACAGAAATCATTAGGAAATTGGCGAAAAATGATCAAGATCTCAGAGGATAAATTATTTGCATCAAGCTTGATAAAGAAATTCGACCAACCAGTCGAATGAGATGATCGCACTCTTCATCTGTTAAAAAGTTCCTGTATAAGAACGCCCTGTATTCCCCAAACAGAAATTAAGAGATATCATGCTTTGAAATCATGTTTATGTTGAGACTAATTATGCAATTGTTAAGAATGTGGGTAGAAAACCTTGGATGCCACGAAATTTGGGTGACCCTAGATGGATCAAAAGGATGACCGTCAGACTCACCACTGGGCAATCTAATCACCGAATCTCGCCTGAAAACCATGAACATTAGAAAATCAAATGATCCATCATAATTCTAGAAACAGAAATAGGATTTGATCAGATGTATATGGATGCATACATTTCGCGTAAGCCTGATGATTGGAGGTGGAAATCTGGGGAGAAAATAGAGAAACAGAGGACGAGTGGGATAAACAAATTCCGAAAATCCATTGTGAGAAACCTCAAAACCCCTGTAGTGGATTATCACATGATGTAAAAGGGGGGAAGGGTTGGGTTTATAGAAGAATTTGATCAAATGATTTGTTTCCAAATATCAAATAAGGGAAATTTGGTTGTTGGAATTCGGTTGCAAACGAATATTTATAATTTCTGTTGAGAGCGCTTATGAATTTCTGAGCTTTCATGAAGCTTCTAACATTTTGAACGCAATGCGAATGGAGGAAGCGCATGGATGGTTCATTTATGGCAACAATCTTTGAAGAAAGTGATACGTTCATAACATGTTATGATTCTAACTTTGATATATATATATATATATATATATATATATATATATATATATATAATCAAACCATTTTCAAAAAATAATAAAAGACTAGCTCAATTATCAAAATAACCATCAATTATGAAGATCTGTAATTTAAAATTACAGGTTCTTAGTGAAATGATTATGCCATCCGAAAAATGATGATAGGGCAACCAAAAACGATAATTGAAAGAAAACAAATATATAAAAATTTTGCAGGCGACATCTATAAAATCTCAGGTTATATATGGAAAATCCTGAAAAAAAAATACCTACTATTTGAAGCTTTTTTGGGTTATATAAATCTTCAAATGCTATTTTCAAAACAAAAGAAAGGTTCAAACAAAAAAAAAACACTTTTTTTTTCGTATTTTCGCAGACAATACTTATGATTTCGTAGATGTCATCCGGAAAAAAAAAATCTGTCATCTACAAAATCATAAGTTTTATCTTTGAAAAAAAAACACTTCTGACCAAAAAAAAAAAATTTTTGTATTTTCACATATAAAACTTAAGATTTCATATATGTCATCTACGAAATTGATTATTTTAGCGATTGGGCCAATTTTTTACTATTTTTTGGAAAGTAATTGACAAGATTAGACATTTGTGTTTTTCTTTTTTACTGTGGTGATATTTTATTAGAAGAAAATAAACAGAAGCAAGATGTTACAAAAATTATAAAACAGGGAGGAAAGACAAAATAGAGAACAATCACCAAACATATTTAAACCATGCCTAATGAAAACCTACTTTGGGATTTCGAAAGCAAAAAGCATGTTGAAAAGAGATGGTACATCTCCAAGGACATTGTTAGAAAGCAGTCTAAGGAAAAGACCTGTTATCATGTATATTATGCCTACATACAAAGAGTAGAAGAAGAAAAAAACACACAAATACCCAAATATTGCAATGTTGGTCTAACCATCTTGGTTTGCTTGTATTCACATGGCATTTATGTGTTTTCGAATCAGAACAATATTACGTGTTGGGTGTTGAAATTTGTGTTTTCATTCCACTTATTGAATGTCATAATGCTATATGTATGGTTTGGTTTCGTCTCCGAAGTTGTACAAGAGTTCCCACAAATGAGTTGACATAAGAGTCAAATTTATTGGTCTTTATACTATTAGTCAAGCGTTTTGAATGTTACAATAACTTAACATGGTTACATGCAGGAAGATGTTTTGGTCCAAAAAAAAAAAACTTAAGAAGATAAATGAGTCACTGAAAAACATCAGCCTTGAGCTTGAAAAGAAGATCATGAGCAATATGTTCCCAAGGAAGTGAAATCGACATGAGGCAGCATTTGAGTGGGACCATGTCCATTCCGCCATCTGAATTATTCCTTGCTGCTGCATATGCATTTTTTGCAGCCACCTGTGCAACAGACGCAGCTTTTCGTACCATTGCACCAATCTTAAATCCTCCTTCTGATATATGCAAAGGCGAGTGTGGAGACCCAAACTCATCTAGGCTATGATCTGAAAAAAATTTTAAAAAAAAGAGTAATTTCTTTTTGAGTTTAATTTGTCGAATAAAATAAAATAAAATACATTGTATTTACCTGCAACGCCAGAAACTGCAACCTCAACCTCCCCACGGCCTCCAGGACCTTTCATGTATATCCTGTCTGTTTTTGTTTTACCAGAAGAGTGACCAAATGCCAATAGGCTTCCAAATCCAGACTTACCCGCTGTAATAAATAAAAAAATTTACAATAAAAAATCAAGAGGTGTTAAAGCTGTTAAATGCAAATTCAGAGATATTTACCATCATAGGCTTCACGAACCATTTGGTAGCTCACAAATCCTGAGAAGAGAGTAAGCTGTCATCACAGTAATACAAACCTTGTTAACACTGTCTCCAACTAGGAAAACATAACGACTATACAAAATTCATATATATATATATATATATATATATATATATATATATATATATATATATATATATATATATATATATATATATATATATATATATGAGCATCAAAGCAAACCTTAGTTTTATTAATTTGTCCAGTTTCACTTGAAGTAGTAGTATCATCTTGTGGTGGCATTTGAGTGGGGAATGCTGCCCCTCCAACTGCATTTAGAAGTACACAGTAGCAATGGTCTGTATCTGTCAATACCTGAAAAGGAAACAACTTTCGTATTAGGACATTATATTTTGAAGAATCAAATTCAGATATAAAGAAATATAGCAGAAAAAATGGGATTGCTATGCTATTTACCACAGCATCGAAGGTTGAATCAAAGTCATCAACTGCAAAACAGATATCCGGATATGCAGGTTTTGTTTCCACTTCCTGGATACATATCCACACAACTCCTTCAGAATTGATTTGAGAGAATGAATATAAATATAATTAAGTTGCAAAAACAGCATGGAAGGTTAAAAAATAAATAAATAAATAAATAAATAATGATTGCCTTTCTCGAGTCCAAGTGGAAATTCACACGGCTTGGAGATGCATAAACTGTTTTCAATATCTGGAAACCATAAAAATAAATGTTAATTATTGATATTACCATGATATAGATAAACAATGTAATTTGAAAACTTATCCTTCAATATTATTAATTTACCTTCCTGAATAATATAAAGATTATTTCACATGTATGACAAAAATTACTTCAATATTAAAAGCTAAAACGTGAAATGTACAAACACGTGATGTTTCATTTTATGAATGTACACATGAATTTGGAAAATTCTTTTCGAGAATGGTACTTTGCATTATCTCTTTCAAGGTTTTCAATTTGGATTCCCAATTGGTTTTAAACATAAGAATACAACTTAACGAAAATATTAAAAAAACTAAAAAGTAAACAGAGCAAGTAGACTCAAGTCTCTCAAACAATGTAATCAGGTTTAGATATAAGGATACAGGCGAGGAGATTCATGTTCACAGAAAAAAAAAATTATAGATAAAAAAGGAATGATAGTAGATAGAAATAGAGAAATATAATAATGTCAAAAAAGTTACCTTGTATATAGGAGATAGTGGTGTTCCTTGGTTACTCTGATAATTCTGAAGAGACTGACGACTGAAAATAATCATAAACTTCAGGAAGGGGAAATATAAAAAAAAAAATAGATAATACGATGATAAAAATTTATATGTTTTATGAAAAATAATAATGTTTGTTTTTGACTTAATACATAAAGAACAACTTAATAGAGAAAACTCACCTGCAAATTGCAACTGTTACACTATATGAAGTGTGGGCAATTAAGTTCAAGTACAATGAACGCCTCCAATCTATAATTACTGAGCTCTCTCCAACTAAATCATCCAACTGTCAAACAAGAGCATGAGAAAAACATCATTAGAAATTTAATTTAAATAAATCCACACCACAATGAAGAAAAGCAAATACAAGCAATGAAGCTGAAAATAAAGGGAAGCAAGGTTATTAATTTAAATCATGCCACAAATATCATTGCTTTATTTACCTTGGAAGCCCACCTGCGAACAAAGTAAGGGGAGTTGCCTTCAAGATTATCATTGAAGCCATATCCATGCAAGCCCTGAAACCAAAGGGCAAAATGGTCATAAAAAAAGTAAAGATCATTTTTGCGTTTGAGTGTATGAGAGATGAAGGCAATAATACCATTTTCCTAACAAAGAATAACAGATCATCATCCTGCTGTTCTTTTGACTCCCTTCCACCAATGAAATATAAATCTAAAACATCATGCCAAAACTTTTGATCCATTTCAACATCTGAGGCATCTTGCTCATCTACTACAGTTTTTCCTATTAAGTTTGAATGTTTCTTCACCATACTCAACAGCTCATACCTATAAGATAAACATGAATTTTAGTAATCAGAATTTTGGATATCAAATTTGCATAAAGAAATGAAATCAGTTTTACAAAAGGATATGGAATAAAGAATGAATTGTATGCTTTACCTAGAAGGGGATTCCCCTCCATCACCAAGCATTTTGTTTTCTCCCTAAAGTTCAGAGCTTCAATGATGAATTCAATCTGGGATCATGGGAATCCAAAGAAGAAAAGGATGATGACAGAAAAAGATGTTGAAAGTACATTTTCTATAGATTAAAAGTAGGATGTTGTGATAATAAAAGAAACCACATTGTTATTTCTTGCACTTAGCCCTAAAATCTAAAAGAAAAAGAGAACTGAACTGAGAGTATGCAAGAACCTGTTTTGTTTGGATTTTGAAGCTCTGCTATCACCTCTCCCAAGCTAGCATCTCTATGGATGTAGATCATAAAACTAAAATGGATCAATACACTTAAAAAGTAACATAAAAAAAAAAATTCTTGATCTTTATTGTTTCAAATGTGTTAATCCACCTGGATTGGGATGCAGAAAACCCTTCATAGGATTTTGTCCATATTTCTTTGAAGAATAACCTGCATATCTTATCTTATGTGAGAATAAAAGGCAGAGGCTAGACTCCTTCCTTCTTACTGGATTTCCATTCCTGAAAAAAAAATTAAATCAAAACAAAAGACCAATAAAACTATGATGCCATAAGTTGGGTGCACATAAGCATCAAGACATCGCTAGGGCAAAATGGTGAATAGATGATGAAAACAACACAACATACACATACAGCTTAAGAGGATACCTATTGAAATCTGAAGTTATGGTAAATAAGTGAGCGCATAGAAACTAATGTAATGAACCTGAAACAAACATTTAAAGGGTAAGAAGGTAGACAGGGGAATTTATTTTGAAGCTGCAGAAAAGAAACTGAAGCCATAGAGAATAATATATGGAAGTTGAAACAAACATTTAACTGGTTCTGGTAAACGCAAGAAATAGGCAAATTCAGCAGCTTTTTGCTCTGGATAATAAAGTTGGAAGCATCTTGTTTCAGCAACATACTTTCAGTGATTTGCTTATTACAGCATCATACCTCCATTTGTTGTTACTAAAAATAGAAATTCTAAAAGGCACAGAATCATAGCACTGTCATTTATAGAGCCAAACGGGTTCAAAGGGGTTGAATTGTTATGGGTAAAATAGATTTATTTCTTGCATCTATGGCTCTACAGGCCTTTTTGCAGTATCCTTAAACTAAATAAACTTTGCTTAATACGTTAAAAAAATTCCAGAGTATACATTAAAGGAGTCAAAAACCTTTAGTTACAGAAAAAACTGGTGATCACAGGAGAAAACCCAAAGAAATGTGTTTAATATGGTATTTCAATGGAAGCATATGTGAGAAAGGAGAAATTGTAGTATTTAACATGACAGAAGTTTAGCGGGGTAGGAATCAGATGGGCACAATTGTTAATTTTAATGTTAACTCTAATCAACAATCACATGAGGATGAACCTAATAAAAATTAAAACCTAAAACTATGGCAGGTAGTTTATCGGGGTGGGAATCAAAGAGCTTACCGGAGTTCAGGATACGCCGGATTCAGAGGTGGACGAAGAAGGGAGAGCAGCGGTGCAACGATGTTGAACGGAGAAGGGGGCGTGATGGTGGTTGTCTGCAGTATACAGAGTTGCAGCGGAGGCGACCGACAACGTATATAGAATGGTGGTGATGTGAGAAGGGAGAAAACCCAAAACGATTATGCTAGAAGCCGAGGGTGGTGACCTTCTGAGGAAGTAAGGAAGGGTGAAAATATAATGGAGATAAGGATAAATATAAAACCAAAAGAACGTCAATTGTTATAAAACTAAAAAGAAATGTCCAAACACTGCAGCAAGAAGAAGGGTATGGCAAATTAAAATGAAAGAATACTCACCAGAAAACACATTCTCGTCGATCTCAGGAGAGAATAACAAATTAGATTCAAATCATGTCAAGGGAGAGAGAAAAACAAAGAGTTTTGAGATCTCTTCACTTCCAATTTTGCGATTTTGGAACTGGAACAAAACCTTGATTGATTGTGTAGTTTGGCTGTTTGGGTGATAATTTCCAAGAAGAAGAGGCCAATTTGCTCTCTTTGAGCTAATTACAAAAACAGTCCCTTGAGTGTATATGAGACCATATGAATGCATCAACAAATCCACAATGTTAATGCATCAACAAATCCACAATGTTGTTTTAACAAGTTTCTTATGGATGTTTTAAAACTAGTAAACATTTCTATAATTTAAAAAAAAAAACGATTAAAAAAACATATTTTAAATAAAATTAAAATATGTGAAATCGGTGAAACTTGAGAGGTTACACTTGTAACTTCCTAAAACATAGCGTAAATTTTGGTTTTTGCAAAAAAATTATTTGTAGGATTCAAAAAGTTTCCGATTTACATAGAACATTCAAAATAAAAAAAAAATTGTGGTTTTAATCCTAACATTAAGAAATTCTTCTAGTTTTGATTATTGGAAAATCTGAAATGACGATTTTACCCTTTTAATTTAATTTAATTTTTTTGAATTTTTATATTTTCTTTAGTAATTTATTAATCAAAAATAAAAATAAAAATAAAAGAATATGGTCCCTCTCTCTCTCTCTCTCTCTCTGACAAACAAGTTACAAAACTCTATGATGAACAAAGTTTGTGGAGATATGTCATCAAGAAATTAACACCAAAGACTCATGCGTCTTTCTCTCTCTTTCTCCAGATTTTTGGTATGAATAACCACCTGCAAATCGTCTTCATAAACAGAACTAACATACTCACACACGTCAACAAAAAAACCCAACTAAACCCTACATATCCATCTCCGATCGATATGTACACAGATTCAAGTAGTCAACTTCTCAGAAAAGCCACTTCGATTGAGCACTTCCCTAAAAATTTGTTTAGGTTCTTTGTTTTAGCACATCTCAAAAAATCAACTTCTCCATCTACGATCGATGAATTCATCTATCTCTCTCTCTCTCTCTCTAAATTTCTTACTCCGAGGGGAGAACATCGATAGGTAAGGATCCGACATAAACACATTTAGTTTTGGGTATTACAGAGTGAATCCGAGTTGATTGAAATATTCATTTGTTGGCAACCACGATCCGAAGACCGGAGGATGCAGACGAAACAACATTTGAAAACCAATATGTCTCAATTTTGTTCCGGTTATCCATTCCGCCATTGTACCTGGATTTGATTATAAATCAACGGTATTATAGTGTTCCTCTTGAAAACAAAATGTCACATGGATTGGTAATAGAAGAAAGAAAGAGAGATAGGAGGAAAGATTTTGGGATAAATGTGTGACATCCCCTATTTTTCAGAACCAAATAAAACTTTTGTGTGCTTTAAAATAATGAGTTATTTTGTTGTGGAAAAATTCGATTTAATAAAACATTTTTATTGAGATGACAAATATTGTTTTAAAATATTATAATACGAAGAATGTCATAATTAAATATCCAACATATGTTACAGCATAAATATTTAAAGGTCTTGAATACTATAAGAAACTAATCTCTTATCCACTCGGCCTCTTAACTTAGATTATATCAGCCTTAGTATCGCGACCTATCATGCATACAAATTGAGTGGGTCAGGTTTGGAAAATCAGGTGAGATACATAGGGTTTTCAACCTCATAATAGTTTGATGATATTAAATTATATTAATAATCTGCAAAACAAACATTTCAAAACAAGATATATATATATATATATATATATATATATATATATATATATATATTGTAACATTCGAGATTTATTGGTATGTTCCTGTTTAACTCTTTATGTGAATTCTTTACAATTTGGTCCCTAGCCGAGTACGTTGGGTGTACGTGGAAGTACGCGGGGCATACGCTAAGCAGGGACAAATCCTAATTTTTAGGGTTTGTGCCCTATTTAAGCAACTTATGTTTCCTTGGTGGTATCTTTTGGTCAGCCTCTACTCTCCTAAACCCTAAGAACGAAACCCTAAGTGCTTTTTGTGATTTTTGAGCTTGGAAGTGACTTTTGGTGGTGTTTTTGATGATTTTAAGGAATAAGAACACGTGGAGGTTACTTTGGAGTGGTTTGACCTTGTAAATCCAAAATCATCATCATCTTTGCAAGCTATTTAAGGTATAAAGTTCTCTACTTGATGATTCCTTATGCTAGATCCAATTTAGGGCTTCATTTGTGCATTTTTGGTTCCTTAAGCCATATTTGTGAGTATGGTCTACTCCAGAAGCCATGGATGTTAGATCTTAGCACTTTTAAGGTCACTTAGCCACAAAAATGCAATATTTATGGGTTATATTGATCATGCATGTGTTAGGATCCTTAATATGGATATTTTTGAGTTTTGGGTCCTATTAAGTCATGCATGATAATAAAGTTGTCAACTTTACTTGTTAAGTCACCATTTGGGATCAGATTTGAGAGTTTGGCCTAGTGACTTAACTGATTAAGTGCTTAATGATGAAGTTTGGTCAACTACATCGTACGTTGGGCATACCCAACTAGTACATTGTGCATACTAGCCACCAAAGTATAACATGGAGCGTAAGACTGAGTATGTTAGGCGTACTCAGCAGACTTGACTTTCGGTTAACTTTCTCATTTTGGGCCATTTTTGGACTTTTATGGTTTGGGCATTGTTGGGTCATTAGACTTCTGACCTTGGGTCATTGCTAGGATGTGGGCCTTCATGGATTTAGGCCCATGATGGGTTTTTGGCCAATTTAGGAAGTTGGGCCATTTTGGGCTTTGGGATGCCATTTAGGAATTTGAGCTTTTTGAGCAAATGGGTTGGGCCTTGGTTTTTGGCCCAAGTAAGAAAAGGGTAAATTGGTATTTTACCCTAGATGTTGGACAATTAATATGGATTCTTAATTATGGGTTGATAACCAATTATTAATTTGATATTATTAGATGGTATTAGTGCGGGGATTTTCCGGATCAGCAGACCAAGATTTTATCTGAGAGATTCAGCAGCATGAGGTGAGTTTCCTCACTGTACTTGGCAGGTCGAAGGCACTAATGTCGACCCATGGTTTATTATGATTAGGATGTTTGTTGTCTGCATGACTCCACATGTAGGATATATGTTATGTATACCAGACGGGACATGATGACTATCTTGTACGTTATTTATCTTTGTGATTCTTGCATGTGTTTATGTGTTTGTATGTATATCGGGCGGGGCCCATTATTTACTGTCAAATCCCTTCCAAGCAGGGCTTAATGTCGGGTGGGGCCCGGTGATGGGTAGGGCCCATTATGTGTTTGATATGTATAGTATGTGGTATTTTGGGGAACTCACTAAGCTTCGTGCTGATGGTTTTCAGTTTATGTTTCAAGTACTTCCGAATCAAAAGAGAAGAGCTTGTGGTGATTGCATTGCATACACCATGATTGTTCTGCATTTTACTTTACTATGATGTATTTGGTGTTTTGATCATATTTGGATTTTATTATGGTTTATAGATATGTTTTGAAGGATGTTTTTTATTATAATTAAAAATTAAAATTTTGGCCTTAATTTTTGGGAAATTAAAAGTTGGTATCAGAGCCTTTGGTTTGAGGAATTCAGGCATACTCTCGGGTGTGTCTGAACTCAAACTGAGGATTTGGTAAATTTTTCACAAAAGGAAACATTTTACACAAAGAGTTTTCTAATAAAAGAAATGGGTGTGGTGCATGCAATCGATCGAGCTCAAGTAAGTTTTCACAAACTACCCATACACGTTTATGTTATGCTTTGAATTCTAAATCTGTGAATCACATGCTAGATTAGGGATAAGGATCTAGGAGAGATGCCTTTGTATGTCGTTAATGAGCTTGTAGACTTGCATGCTAGTACTGATCGTTCAGTGATAGGATGGCATTTTTAGGTTATGCTTGGTTCCAATTACTCAATGCTTGAATGATGTTTTCTTTGTGCTTGTAGGAGTTACCATTAACTTCAGCTAACTAGTAAGTGAATATGCTAAGTTACATATTATTGAAACTAAATAATTTTAGAATGTTAGGTTTTAACTCTATTGCGCAGCTCTTGTTTGAGGCCAACCGTTATAGTGTGAGACCTTTCATTCAAAGAATTATTTGGTGTCGGTGATATGTAATTGTATTCGTAAACTAGTTATAGGTTGTTAGGGAGAGTTCCTTCTGCAGCTGATGGCGTAGAGTGGTGTGGTGGTTGCCCCAGGAAAATCTAGGAAGAAATTTAATGTTGGGAGCCTTATCTGTTAAGTATTATATGTATGGATAAAGATTGACTTGGAGGATTCAAAGTGATCCTTAAGGAAAGTACGGATAGATATGGAAGGTAGTATGGGCCCGTACTCCTAGAAGTATAGGATCTGTACTTAAGTTAAGGAAAGTTGCGATGATACCAGGAAGCTTATAGAGTATGATACTCCACGATATGTATTTATGCGTGTTTTGATGGTTTAAATGGTCTATTTTCAATATGGTGACCCTTCGAGGAAGACCGAGTAGTGGTTTCCAGTGTTGGTGAGGGTTCGGGTTTGAGTTCTGGAACCGGACAATTAAATATTAGATGTAGGAGTTCATTTCGTCTGAGATTACCCACAGCATACTCGAGTAGACTCTTGTGATCTTTGGTACGATCAATGAGTGTATCATGGAGGTTTTAGATGAGCGTTTGGGCTCATTCCATTTTGAGATGGTAGCGATGTGGAGCCCCAGAGTTCTTCGGGAAGAAGGATCCGACCACGAGTAGACGTTTGTTAGCAGACGTCACTAATACATTACGCACTAGCAGTTGTCCTGATGGGGTAAAGGTCAAACTTGCTTCTTGTCTTTTGAAAGATAGAGTCTGAGACTGGTGGGAGGAGTTAGGACATGCCTTGGGAGGCAAGGCGATTGATTCCATGACTTGAGAGGATTTTATGATGAGATTTCGGTCTGAGTTTCGCACCTGTGATTGAGGTCCAGCAGTTAACACGAGAGTTTCAGGATCTCCGCCAGACTACTGAGATGGTGGTTAAGATCACTGCTATGTTCCCCGAGAGGGTGTTTCTAGTTCCGCAATATGTGGCTGATGAGGAGATGAAGAAGGAGAGATACCATGAGATGTTGAGGAGTGATATACGACAGTTTGTGAGCCAATCCAGTTGTAAGACATTGGATGATAGATTGCGAGAACCAAA